ATATATGAATCAGTACTTATTTCTAACATTTGTCTAAGTACTGCATCCAAAAGGCAAATCACATAAAACACCATGAATGGACATATTGAATTAAGATCTTAGTGTTTAAGATCTTGCTTTTTTGTCAATCTTTTAGATTGTAAGCAGACTGAAACGTGGAAACTTCAGTCAAACTTCAAAGCAATTCGAGGTTCACCTTGGCTCCACCAACAAACGCAGGCGTCTTTGCGGCCTCTGCATGGCAGTCATAGACGTTGGGATATCGGATGCGTTCGTACACTCTCTCTCTGCTCAGTATAGGATCCCGCCGTGCAGTCAGCAGCGCCTGCTCCCTGTGTCCGCACACAAGACATATGGACCATAAAAAGAAAATAAAGTATCTGTAAATTAAAGCTAGGGTAAGAACTTTAAGAGGAACACAATGACAATTCCAAAGTCTCTCAAAGTAAAGGAAGAAAGGAATAATCAAAAATGTCCTTTCACAAACATCAGCAGCGTGTCACATCTGCAGCCACATCGTGAGTCCTCACATGCCTCCACACTTTAGCTTGAGAGCGAGTCGTGCAGTGAGTGATTAAAATGGAGAGGCACAGATGTGTGGCATTATGTTCTGTCCTAAAGTGGCTTACCTCTCTGCTAATCTTTTCCTTCAGACTGGGCTGGATTTGGTCATGCTAAGATTTTTAATTAAACAGATCGCTGCCCTTTTTTTTCATCCCCTGAAATTAAACTTCCAAAAAAACACTATTCTACCAAAGAGGAAAAAAGATCTGACAAGCTGCAGTATGGCTGTGCCTTTTTTAAATTATTTTGTAAAGCTCAAGCCTAGTAGTCATGAAAAATGCAGAAGCTTGTCGGTGTTGGTGTGGAGCACAGGTGGAGACGGACAGAGAACAAAGACAAATGAGGGAAGAGGACCAAGACGAGGTTTGGAGAGATGATATACCGCTGAGTTCTCATCTCTCGGGGGTCAAAGGTCAGGGCAGCATCTGAGGATTCGCATTCTTCTCCTCCTTTTCCTCTCTTCCTCTCTCTCTTCTCCTCTCTGCGGTACAACTTCATCATCTGTTTCTCCTGCTCTGACTGGATGGTCACCTGGCACGCAAAGGTGGGCTTGGCTTCTCCAATGGCTAATCGGCTCACATCTGGAGGAAATGCATAGAAAATATAAGGCAAAATGTTAATACCTCATATATGTTTCAATAGAGGATCATTGTAAACGCATTAGGGGTTTAAAGGTTATTGCATTCGCCACAAACCATTAACCAGGACATTCAGTTCAGTTCAAGACTTTCTTCACTTCCCTGTAAAACAATAATGACTTCCAAATGAGCCTCACACACTATAATTATGACCATGTCTTAGTGAGTATAGAACGTTAAAGGTTTTTCTCTGTGGTGTTTTCTTTACTTTTGTTGTTGCGGAATTTCCAATAAGAGAATGAATATAATATGTACCGCGATTCTATCCTTTCAGCTGCACTACAGAATAACACATTTGTCATTAGAAACACTTTAAACAGAACTTTACAGGTGGTTTAATGAAATACACTTATTATTTAACAACTTACCTTGACACAGATGTTATCGTTTCAATATGATTCTATCAGTTTGTTGTGTTACCTTCTTCAAAACATGTTCAAATGTGAATACTGTAACCTCATTATCTTATCTTTTTGTGTGTGGAAGAGAAAGTCCCTCTGGAGGAACACAGGGACTTTTGCCTTTGCAGACCATTTAAATGCACACCTATAGAACACACTACAGGAGAGGGAGAACCCCAAGAAGCAGAATTGGGCAATGTTTGAAGAGCATCAATTACTAGTTTCAGGACAAGTTATTAATTTCTTCTTCATTTTAATTAATGAGATCTATACTTTATATATATATATAGACTTTATATAGATAATATAATATCTTACATTTTAAGAGTTTTCAGACTCTAATGCTCACAGCCTTAAAGAGTATTTATAGCTGGGTGGAGGTCAGCTAAAGTCAATAAAGAACAGCCTCATATTGCAGCATAGGGCTGCTCAATTAATCGTATTTTAATCGCATTTACGATTTTGGCTTGCAACGATTATGAAAACAACATAATCGAAATAAAACGATTATTATTATTATTGGTTTTTCAGTTGAATTATACTCAAAGTTCAGGGTAATCAACTGTTTTTTTCAATAAATGGATGTTTTCAAAGTATATGGATAAATGTTTTTAATAATCGTGATATCAATTATTGACCCAAATAATCGAGATTATGATTTTTGCCATAATCGAGCAGCCCTATTTCAGCAGTAGTCTTGATAGCCCGTTGAAGCGAGAAGCGAGTGCACGTGGCTCTGCATGGGTTAATGTTCCCCATTGCAGCCTCCCTGTTTGGGGCACAACAGCTCAATAAGCCGCAGAATTGCTCTTGAAAACAGATGAGATCAGAAGATTGCAGCGCGGCCCGGGCTGATTGACTGAATGATTTCTTCTTTATCTCGTCTAACGGCTCTACCTGCCGCACAGCCCCCCCTCGTTGTAGCGGCTCCCCTCTTCCTGTCACTCCAGCCTCCCTGCCATTACCTTTCCAACTCCCCTTCCCCTTAACTCTGTCACCCTTTATGCACCAATTCCTCTGTCTCAACCATTCCCTATCCTTTACTCTCCCTCTCTCTGGGAGCCTTGTGCCTGCCTTGTTATGTGTCTCCAGCAGTGATTGCCTCCAAATCTCCAGGATTCTCATTTCCACAAGCGATCATGGTGCCATAATCATTGTGAGGAGCTTCGCCAAAATAGATTTGGTTTGCTTACAAGCTGGTTTCAAGGTGCTTTCACACATTTCTTCATGTTTTTCCACACCTTTTACACAGATATAGGATTTACGAGGGCAGTCTTTTTAGATTCAAGTAGTGACTTCATTAACACTGTATTATACAAAAACCGCAAGACCCTCCATGTTATCATTTACCATGAATAAGAGTCTAAGGAAAATCTTTCCTTTGGTAATTGCATGACTTTCAAAAGGAGATACAAATCAAAACTGTTTCAATGTTATACAACACACTTGTGTATAAAATATATACACATATAATGTATTGCATGTGTTTTTCGTTACTTAAACCTCTTATATAATGTGTTATGTTTTTATGTACAGGTAAGCATTTCAATTTTAACCTGCAGCGGTAGTAAATCTGTAAGTCAAAGTTTCTAATTTTGATTTTAAATTCTCTTTTAGAATGAAGGGAAAATCAATAAATGTTGATCAATACATAAGAAAAGGGAATGAGAATAAATAACTAACCTGAATGGTACAGAGCCTCTCGTTATGTAACCTTACAGATATGGTTATAGGAAAAGGCAATATTGCTGTAATCAGCATCACAATATTTACTACGGTTGGCAGATGTAGTATATAGGTAGTAAATAATATATTGTGTATTCCCCCGTAAAACAGATCTGTTCCAAAATGTAAAAGGTTCTGTAAGGGTATTCCCTTTAACAAGTTTCATGAACAAGGAGCCAGTATTGTTTTTATAGTTTTATATGAATACATGTCCTTTATCTTTTATTGAGTTGTGTTTAGTAATTATGTGTATCTTTATCTTCACTTCAGCACATACACCTTTGTGTACTACGAAACCACTGATTAGATTTCAAGAACTGTAAAGATTTGGCAACACCAGAATGTGATGACATGGCTGCAGAGAGCAAAATAGGATGATTATATAACCTACATCAATTATTTAGGGGACTTAGTGTCCAAAGAACAAATTCAGAGTCAATAAATGAATAAAGTGAGGTTATGCAACTCTATGAAGAGATTTTATTGGATGACTGTGGTTTTCTTCCCGGTAAACTCAAAATCACTCGAATTAAAAACCAACAACATCATGGTCTTCTACAGAGAAATAACAGACCATAGAATGTCGTAATTGACCAAATAGAATTCAACAAAGCTGTGTAAAAATAGAGGAAATATATATTTGGATGTCAGATATTGGCTGGCAGTCTAATCCCATGGTTTAATTGCAGAATAATCCATATATATATGCACATTTTGCCTATCATTTCAATATAACAATTAATTCAAATACAGCTTAACTGCTCCAGTGCGAATGATATTTCTGGCATCACAAAGTCATCCCAAGCACAAATCCCCCTATAATTCTGTCTGCTCATAGTATGGTTTTATCATTTCAACATAGCTCTCACCAACACATAAGCCCTATAATTGTGAATAACAATGACAGACCAAATAAATTGCCTTGTTGTTAAACTTGCTTGGCAGTAAGAATGATGCAATGCTCCCAGCATCCTCTGAGTTCTTCTTCTCTGTTAGTTGTCACACTCAGAGTTGTGAGCGGAGTTTGAGCGGCAGAGAAGAGCCTCTGTTCTGATCATGGCCTGAGGGAATTGTCTAAAATGCTCAGCAGAGAGGCACTGGCATTATCTCAGTTTTAAATGTATGGCAGAGCCATTTGCCATGGTACATCAAGTCAGAGAAACTGATTTCTGAGAAGTTTTCTGCAAATATTCCTCAAACACCTACTGCACTACACAAACAGAAAAGGGAATATTCTGAAAGACCCATTTAAAGGTATTTGTAAGAGGACTAGACATCAATACTCAAATTTGGACAATGACTCTCCCTGCAACAACACAGTCGACAGACAGAAGTGATGTTGAAGTTAACATATTACTACGATAAATAATAGCTACTTTGCTGAAAGTGTTACTAAAATGATGCAGAATAAAAGGTGTCTAATATTCCCAATCCTTTTACAACTCTAATATTTGGCCCCAACCTTTCAACTCTGTAGAACATACCTGGCTTTTTGCTCCACTTCACTAATAAGGTTCATGAGAGCAAGTTGGCATCAGGGATGCAAACACACATATGGTGAAAAAAGAGAGAACTATTGGAAGCCGAAAAGAAACAGCTTAATATACCATCTGACAAAGGCCTGTGCTATAATGCTTCAATGAGCTGGCTATTCTATACTCACATAGGAGACAGAGATGTTAAGTTATAAATCAAGGTTTTTTATTATTATTTACAGGTAGATAATATCAAGGGTGTAACTTTGGTTTAAGAAGTGGGGGGGGGACACAAAACAGGGGGTCCTCCGCAATGAAACATTTTCTCGATTTAATTCCATTTCCTGCCTTTCTACAAATATATTAGGGACTATGGTGTTAAAAAATGTGTAGTGTATATAATGAGTGTGCAAACTTATCTAGTATCCCATCATTGTGAACCTGTTTTATTTGTGGGTGGACCTCACATCGTCTAGGGGGGTCCGGGGGCATGCACCCCTGGGAAGATTTTTTCTTTTAATTGAAGTTAAATGCATCAATCTGGTGCACTTTGAGGGCAAAACTGGGATACAGCTCTCAACACTCATATGAAACAGAACTGTATATATTTCAATAATCAAAAAAACATTAGAATATGCTCACAACCAATAACAAATATTTGATAAACTCCTCTCTCCTATCTTTATCTTACCTACTCTGCATTCTTACTTGTTATTTATGCATATGTTACTAATCGCTCCCCTTTTCAACTGTGTTTTTAATTTTTTACTGACCTATAGTACACATTGGAATGATTCTTTTACTTATTTTTTACAACTATATTAAATAGATGGAAATATTTGTTTACATAGATGACCAAACCATTTGAGACCCACTGAGTCAAGTTTACAATCTAATCACTCAGTGAGTCCTTTACCTCACCTAAACTGACGTTATCTCAGCCTCTCAGTCTGAAAGAACTCTCCTTATTGTTTAAACAGCTTCTAATCTCCGTTAGCTCCGAGCTAGCACCAGATGCTAACAACAACCCCCGTAACTGGTGCGCTCTCTCTCTTTCGCTCTCGCTCTCACTCACACAAAATGCGCTCGTGACACACACACACACACACACACACACACACACACACACACACACACACACACACACACACACACACACGCACGCACACA